GGATCAATTTTCGCTTTTTGGTGACCTGTTACCGAAACAGTGATCCGAATAGATGAGCACAGTGCGTCTATTTCTACACGTATCTAAAGAGATCAGAAGAACCAAAACAAAAGCTTGATTTTAAGGATTTGGAGCACCCACCGTGTGCATTTGATGGCGGCACAATCTAATTTTTGGCCTCGGTTAACTTTAAAATCAGATTTTGCCAATACGGTCACTGGGATCGTCACCGAAGTGGAGGGTTTTGTTGCGGCTCTCTCCCAAACCAATACTTCTTCGGCTTAGTCATGATCAACATGCAGGCGATAAAGGCATTTAAACAACGCAATACCTAGTGGGCCGGATACATGTTATCAAAATGGTCCGGCAAAGTCGCCGGACGATTGAGTAGCTTATTAACCATCTATTAACGGTTGGTGTTCGTCTACTCTTTGAACATCTGCCATGGCTTGCTGGATATTTTTCTTACCTTAGCTACAACCATAGCAGACAAAACCGAATTGGTTTCGAAATTTGAAACTTTACTTTCTCCATCAGTTCCGGACTTAGTACAATATAGTGAATAACGGTCAGTTCATTCGGCGTACCCTCCGTGATATCAAATAAAAAATAAGTTATATGTTTGTTGACTACGCGACCAGTTACCTAAAGGGGACAGCTCATCAAAGGCTACAACTGTTTCATGCGATGATATAATTGATTGAAATGATGAGCACAAAATTTGTATTTAGTTAAGTAACACAAGTAAGCAAATGACTGGGCTTATAAGCGAATGAGATGAAAGGGGCTGTTAGACTAATTATGATATGCAGCTGCTCATTTAGCCCGGATACATGGGCTGTTCGTACTTTTGTCAGGCGCCATCGATACCGTACTCAAAAGTTGTAGTCAGTGATTGCCATGTTCTAAACTTGTTCTAGCTAAGCTTTCGTTAATTCCCTAGCATACTCTCTGCCGTATATTCCGTACTTACATCTATTAACAGATACTCGATAAAACGTGGAATAGCCAACTTTGTTACTAAGATATAAATATCACATATGAATTCAAAGTCCAGGACTGCAAGTAGCACAAATGACCTACTACCTGAACTGTTTATCAACAGTTTTCCGACAGATGCATTCATTTCATATAATAGGCAAAATCTATTGGCGAGTCACGGATTTACATTGCCGAAATGGAGACAATCGCCCCTAAATTGGCTATTCAAAATGATGCTAAAGACCATGTGTTTGCAGGGTGCTCAGTATTCTGGAAGACAGTGATGATAACGATGATACTTAGCATGCTCATTCACTGCGAATTAGGGGGCTATTTTAAGCTGTGTACTGTTGTACCGCAGCATGCTAAGTGGACCGGAATGTTAACAGGAGCGAGAATGAGAAGTCAAGCAAAGCAAAGATGTGTAGCAGCAAACGCACAAAAGCGCGCATCGAAGCTATTTAAAAGCTGTGGCAAGGCGCAGCCAACTAACAAATTAGAGCCTGTGCTTGCTGAGAATATCTGCACCTTTGTTCGTGAAAAGTCGACAATAGTTCGTACTATATTTACTGAGACTCGATATATCCAATGAATAGAGACGTAACCAGTCGAACTTGTATTGCAATTTGCAAACCCGATGTGGGAAGCGCACTGTATCTTTGTTAAGTCCTAGTTCTTTTGAGCATCTAAAAGCTGGTTTTGGCATTTAATAGATCATACTTAGATGCTGGCCAGGCGAGGAAACGTGAGGAACGTAGTCACAAGGCTAGGTCGCATTCGCAATCACCAGCTTCCTATTATCTTCACCCACTTATTCCTCTCCGGCATTTTTGCTTCCCTCTTCCGTGCTTCCTTAGCTGTCTTTCTTACATCGGCTTCTTACTAGGCGATTGAACATCCAGCCGTCGACGAGGTATTTCTTTTGTGTTGCAGCTCCAAGGGTCTATTACGGCCCGTCCTACTATTTGGACACGGAAGAGCTTGGAACGCCGGACCGGAGGAATATTACCAAGGGATTCATGTACATAAAACTTTTCATTTGCGTTTCCTTTTAATTCCCCTAGTATCTCGTTTTATTGAAATACTTCAGCGGTGCACATCACCTCTGAAGCCCACGGGATTTAATTCCGTAAAGATGTTCTCATTAGGCGGTTATTTAATTCGCTGGATCATGGATGGCACAGCGCATAATTTTGCGGCCATGCACATAGTTCGGCGGTCAATAATAATAATAATAATAATAATAATAATAATAATGAGAGACGAGGGCCGCAGGTTTCTGCTTAGGTAAACATATTCAACTTTGCGATTATTAATTTTTGGTACACAAGGTTCTGTCTCACAAAACAGCAAGCTATCGCAAAAGTTGAAATGGTTATAGCATATGATCATAGTCCATCCTGTGGTTAACTAACGACTTACAACACAGCAACTTCCATTAGGTTCGTATGCTACAAAACGTCACGCAGCACCCACTATAGCGAGCGTCTGCAGCGTTCTACTTATCCAGATAGACAGCATTTCGCCGTATCGTAGAGTTCAACGCTGGTGCCTACATATTTCTGGTGATCATAACCTATCTTGCAGAATGATCACGTTGCACGTGTTACTGTTCCTTTGGAATTTGGCCATGCAGGAGCCTTGCAGGACGGCAACATGACATGATGACCTTTGCCGGAGTTTCAAGCGCCCAACCAGAATTGCTTCAGGTAAACACAATCAAGTTTAGGATTTTTAGTAGGTGTCATCAAGGCGATCATTATTAACGGCTGGAAGAGTATCCGTTGTTAACCGTTTACAAGAAAAGTCACTCAGATTGCTGTTATTGCAGGCTTATGACTGCTGCTTGACGATTGGTTGAAGGGTCAAGGAAAGCCTACTTAACTCTTAGCCTCTTTCTAGGTGCATTCAGGCGATTTGACCTTACCATATTACACTAAACCCTTTACGCTCACCTGAGGCTTCAAGTGAAGCACATAATCTTAACTTAATAGCCCTGTCAAAAACGTGATTTTTCTTTAGTTGTACTCTACAGCGAGTGGTGGCAAAGAATATTAAATTTCCGCCCTTTGTTCCAAGACAATTTAGACTTCACTCCCTAAGATTACACAACGGATAGCACTGACGTCTACGGAAGGATCACCTAATAGCGGCTGAATATCATTACCTGTAATCACGTTTCCCCTGCTATTTGATCATAGTCAAAATATTTAGATGTGGAGTCACAAACCCTAGTATGAAAAGCAGCACAAACGACCAGAGTATCACACGAATCTTTTCTGCTTATGTGTGTCCACCATGAAACACTTTTCGAACAACCTCACTTTTGCCACGAAATTACCAATGTTCAAAGAACGAATTGATACACCAAGTTACATAACATCATATAGTCCGTGTTCAAAGGATATATGTGTACATATACATATACTGCAGTCGTCGAATAGGCAGGGAACAATCAAAAACCATGTAATTCAAAGGAAGCCACACCTGTCATAAAAAGAAAACCGAACATAACACAGAGAAATCCCTGGTTTCGTCAGTGGGCGAGATAATACCCGGTTGCCCAGGCCGAAGTAGGGTATTCACTTAGGGGAAACCACCGCGAACTTTTGGGTAAATAGCCTACCCGCAAGGCAGTGGGTCACAATCAAGGAAGCGCGCCCTCTGGGAGCCTTTGACTGATTGCTTTCGATAGTTCGGTTGACAAACAAGGACCCAATCCTCCCCACAATTCGAGCTTCGCGATGTTGTGTACAATGCTCAACCGGAGTGAAGCAAGGGGCAGTGACTCTCTTTAGTGGCGAGTCACATCCGCCACATCGGTGTTGTTAAACAGACATATGTGGCTATTTCTAGGGAGAACGCTTGCAAACCGAAAACCCACCACGTCCTGGAATACTGGCGCCGAATTATTCGCTGGAACGGGATAAACTCGTACCACCCAACCGGTACCACGAGGTTGTTCGGAAAGCCTAACTGTGTGCTCGTTCAACTTCCACATGAAATCCGATCCCGCGCTTTTGATCTTTGTTCATGTGAAAAGTTTGGTGGCTTCGCTGCCGCTTGCTTCATTTTATTCGGATCTCACTATCCGCTCCCGACTTGTGTTATGCTACCTGTTAAGCATTAGTTTTTTTGCTTCATCAAACCGTCGTTCCATTGTCCTGTCGGCCAAACCAATCGGCATTTCAAATGCTCTTTTCTCCCGCTTTCGAAACCTGCCTGCATAAAGAAGATAGCTATGTGTAACTTTTGCACTTTGTCGCGTTAGAGTCCTTACAAATGTCATACGCATATTTCGTCTTCGAACCCAGTATTCCGTGGTATTCGGGTAGCATGAAAAGCAGGTGAACAAACGCAGTTCAATCTATCCGTATCAAACTCACGTATTCTTCATTATTATCACCCACGAGCAGGTGAACTAGCAGTAGGATATTGGCGTTTCTCTTTTGCCGCATGCGCAGTCAGTTTGAGTCCGTGATTCACTGGCGTTGACTTAGTTTACAAGCCCAGCTGCGCTCACTATTTGTTTAATAGTGTATTACTTTTATGTGTCTTGTGCGGGTTCATGACAGTCAGGCTCGGTCAGGATGAACGCTGCCGTAATACAGCTAACAATCTTTTCAAACGGCTCACAGCTGTTACCATGTCTCAGTTACCTACATAGCTGACTCGTTATTGGAGTGTTACAGGTTTGAAACCGGTAAGTCTGGAGTAGACAAAGGTGACAGACTAGTTCCAGTAGCGTGAAATGGCCGTTCCGCGCTTTTTCGTACATGTTTTGGCCATTTAAGACTGATGGCGCCAAACTTTTTCGCAAGCTGTTTGAATACGCATGTTTGTGGTGCACATGGTGCAATCGACGCTGATATGGGTGGCGCAGACGTTATTACTTGACCACCATCATTTGAAGCAAGGCCAGTATATGCTCATACATTTCACGTGGAACTCGTTCACCTATTTAACTAGCCTTCTTCATAATGTACCACAGCCCTCATGAGTTCCCGTATTTATTCCAGGTGCTGAATACGACTCTGGTGCGCAAGATCTTTGTGATGAACCACAAAGTCTACACCTGCTTATGAAGTGTGAAAACCCTGAATTATATCGCCTTGCTTTTCCAGCCCATGTGTCTTACGCCACTCCTCCTCCTCCTGCTCCTGCTCCTCAACAATCGTCTCGATTGACAGCAACTGCTGCGAGAGAATCAAGGCTGCGAAACAACGGTTCCTGTGCTTCCTCGTCAAATCCCGGGGACATGGATGCTATTATTCTTGATACTTCTTCCTGTGGGGCAGCAAACGAGCCGGCGCATCCACACGTTCATTGTCTATCCCATCCCGCCGTATCTCCAAGTGATCGAAAAGACACCACATCGTTGCTTTTAAACGACTCGGTCGCAGATCACTCCCCGGATTGGGTTCGCCGGCTATTTAATTGTGCTAATTTGCTCCATCTCCGACAGACTAAACGGCTTCGATCCGAAATGCGTGATCTCACTCGCCATTTACATAGTCTGCAGGTGAGTTTCGTATTTCAACGATACTGAAGATGGTCAGGTTTTGACATTTTCACCGGCCCTCAAGAGCAACATGTTAGAGCCAGCGCGTCTGGAACCATCTGTCTCATCGACAGTTATAGTAAACGCGACCGAACTCTATCCCTAATGCTTCATTGATGTAACAACTTCATAAACTGGCGGGGCTCTCGTTGTGACCGTTAGGCGTCAAGGCTTTACGGATGGAGTTGCATGAAGCGAAATTATCCTGTCTTCTTGATCAGCATTTCGCATTTGTCCGGTAGTACGTTGGTACACGGTATGGAGTGCATACATGCAAATAAAACGCAATGCTTATGTTTTATTTACGTAGTTCTTACGCTATACCTAATAAAACCAGTGAGGGACTAGCTCAATTTTAATAATTACTTATTTGGGCACGCGCCTAGGCCATAGTTTTCCAGCACAACAGTGAACGACGAATTGTACGCAACTTTTCGCTGCCAAAGCGTACCATCTGTAAAGATACAAAGGCATTTCCTAGCTCCTTTAAGACCTCGAACTCCACCGTAGCGCATGAGCAAGAATTATTTACTTCGGGAAGGAATTAATGGAGACAGTAAGGTAGCATGTGGGCACCCTGTGGATATTCCTTGGGGGATTAGTGTGGTTATATCCAACAAGGAAACATGGTAAATAAGCTGAAAGATAAGTTCATATTTGGTGCATTAAACGTTAAGCAAACGACCATGTTTGCGTGGGATCCCTTTGAAGCACTGAGGCAAATGCTGTCTCTTCTGGTGCATCAGATAGATAGTGGGTGTTGCCCGTCCGAAAACACTGCATTCTATGACCGGTTTCAAACGTTGATTCGCATTGAAATGAACCTTGGTTGTTTCGATCACTGAGACAGTAAATGATGAAGCGATCCACGGTCTACATTGCGTTTACCCGCCGCAATCCATTCACACACAATGAGCGCACCAAATTGACTCTCCAGACTGTGCCAGCGCAAATAGTATGTCTACTCCTTGCTGGAATTCTTTTACTTTGTGATGAGAATAAAATATGCCCAGATGTCATTGTGGGATTTGTAGTATTCGCCGCGATTGTAGGTTGCGAAACGCAAATTCAATTTGGGCAACAGTTTACCTTGAAGTTAACCGCTATTTTGATCACTGGGACCGTATCTGAAGTGGAGAATACCGGAGCTGCTTTCTCCCATCACTGAATTCCATGACCGACTGGTTTCGTCCTAATTTGGATTCTTCAGGTAGAGATGGCCTAAGCTAAGTGTAGAACCCAATACCCAGTGTCCCACGGTTCACGCTTCGATCACTGGTCGTTGAACTCCGCGAGCCACGCTGGACTTAGCGCTTAGAAGTTCATCGTTAGGTTTTGGAGTCTAAATCAGGACTCCATCGGTCGTTATTTGTGACAGGAAAACACAGAAACAGTCTATGTTTGTGTGTCCTTGATAAGTTTGCACCGGTGAACATTTTCAGCAAACGAAACGGCAGATTAACTTTTACATACATTGCATTCGGTTTCTTTCATGAAGTTACTGAGGTACTATACAAAAAAGAGCGGCACTGATTGCTACACTAACCACGGCCAAAGTGTTCGGATCCAATACACAGTGGGCAACTGTTGTGTGGTAGCATCTCAGGCAGTGTAATACAAGCTAAAGGATTTATACCGAAGCATGTTCCATGCTTACGGTCATATGGTGATTACCCTTCCACATACGACATTGGGTATCTATACGTCGCACGTCTACTGCGACAAGAAAGCTCAGTAATTGAAAGTGCGTTTGTCTGTTTATTTGGGTGAGCGGACTGAAAAGGAACTGGTTCCGTCCCAGTTTTAAACATGTAAATAGACGGTATATTCCTCTCGAAGATGCGAGAAGCTGTTTTCTAGAAGGAACAGATCAAAAGCCATCTTATCTTATCTTAATGTGAAAAATTCTGAGCACAAATTTCAGGGTAATGTTACACAGAGTAACCCAAAGTTTTGTGGTTTACGCGATCTGTCAACAAACCATTCTTATTCACCAACATAGTATAGATATTCGGGCCTGTAATAAAATGAAACGACAGAGGCTGTGGGACAAAACATTGTACACTACTGTTCATTTACCCCCGATCCAAGAGTAGCCTTTTAATTCTGTCAGGCACCACCGATACCGTTTTCAAAAACCTTATCCAGGGATTGTGATGTCCAAACATATTAAACACGTTTTAGCGGTTAACTGCAATCATTCGCAAGCCCGAAGTTGCGCAGTGTACAACACGTTCTGGTATTGCTTGACAGTCTGCTTCAAATCTTTCAGTAGTGCATTAAAAAGAAATTTGCTCTGGTTCTCGTAGCACACTGCGGATTTGTGGCTTCAGTCTCCTTGTAGCTTATCGGACATCTAGTGTTTAAAGACATGTAAACACCGTTATCAGAACTGTACACAAGATGTTTTGTGGTCCCGTAAGGGAAACAAAGGTTCAGCTTCATTCTCCGAGTCCAGACTGGGTTAGATCCACGCTTATCGCAATTTTGTCTGTATGTCATCTTTGAGGAATAACCGCATAGCTTTTTTGTGAAGCGTCACTGGACTGTGTCAAGAGTATGCGATCAGATTTTCGCAGATTCGATTACATCAATGAACAGTGTTCCATACACGGTAATACATATGCTTTGTAAAACCAGGTACAGTATTTCGTTAGATAATAAGGGAGGCATGTGTAATTGATGACTTTCATGGCCTTCGAAATTCGGAAGCCACAACGTTCAGAAAACTTGGAGGTAACAGGAGACTGCACGCCCAAGTCGCGAACCACTCTGCATTGCGAGATGCATGTGTTTCGCAGTAATATACTGCCTGGCGGTATTAGCATTTGTACCACAGAATATTACACTTGTTCACAGCAAATGACATCTGGCAATGTTGACACCAGGATCCAAGTGCAGATAGGTCATTCTGAATGAGGCCTGCGGCGGCTCGGCGATTTGTACTTATTGTGAGTAGGCAAGTTTCATGGCATGAATAAACAGAAAAGCATGGATGAGAAAAAGAAGTGGTCCAAGAACATTCCCTTAAATTCCTCCCCTGGTAACTGCTCTCGATTTAGAGCAGGGCTGTCCAGAGTCCGGTCCGCGTTAACATTACAGCTGACCCGCGGCCTCATCGTGAAATAATAAATCCTGGCTTGGGCTTTTTTCGTACAGGTGTAATTTTTGTTATTACCTTAATGCCAGAATGAAGATGACGCGACATGTTTTGCCTCACAAAATGTGGCCCTCCTTGCAAAAACTGTGGATACCCCTGTTTTAGATAGATGATCATCGATGCGCAATATCTGCTGTCCACTAACCGGATATTGGGACAGGTACAGGAATATAAAACTGTTTCTTTTGTCTATGGCAACTGTTGTGTGGCGTTGCAAGTCCGTCTGGCATGTTGCGCAGGATCGACCTTGTAAAAAACCGTGCTGTGACTTGCTGCTGATGTTTTCCGCACTAAAGAAGATAGGTAGATGGAAATTGGGTGCTCTCCACCCAAAACGCTTTACTCGGGCTAGCAACATCCATTTTCGTCTGCTTCGGCTACAGTCCCAGTGATCGAATTGACCAAGGTTCACTCCAATGCGAATCACGATCCACACTGAGATTGCGCGTTGCAATCCAATTACACAACGAGTACCTCAAAATTGGCTTCAATAAGACGACATGTGGTTCGTCTCGAACCAATCTCTCCATTATTCTAGATATTATACTAAAGTGGTTGGTAGGGCGAAAGTTTTTAACCGCTTGAGTGACTACCGTTTTTGTTGTAGGAAAACGACAGAACTAGTCCGTTGTGTAGGATATACTAGATTGTTGGAATAGAGCGTAAGATTGTTGAGCAGAAGCAGAGGCTAGTCGCTTCTATCGTTTTTTAATAAACAGCGATGTATTCCATCAGGTCCTGCGTAAGTCGAGATACATAAGTGAGAGACTCGGACAGTGATCTTTGCGGTAGTGTTTTGCACTTTGAATAGACACCCACCTATGTGCGAGGTGACATGCCGACGTGTCTGATGCCTCATTAACCATTGATTCGGTAAAATAAGCCTTGAACGACCTACAAATTTCATCTGGTGCATCGAAATATGTTCCATCAGGTATGACAATAAAATTGAAAGAGTTGCTGCAAAGCGAACCTCGGGCATGGAATAGTTTAGATAGTTCAGTTGTTTTACTAAGCCCTTCAGAATTTTATACTCTTCTAGAATGGGTTTGCTCATGCTCACGCCTGAGTTCATCTGCAGCTTCTGACTGCTGGAACACTAACGCAGTCTGCAGTTAGCCTCAATTTCCACCGAGAACTATGAAGCTTATGTACAGCCGTTAAGATTTGCTACCAAATTCATGTTCTGTTTGTTGTGCACATTTGAACTGCACTACTGAATCGATGTAGAAGCCGATTATAGTATAAAACTAGTCCGCTGCTTATTGAGGACATGAGGAGCAAGAAGTTGCTCCAATCTACCGAACGTCTTGGGTCCTTGAACGAGTTCCAGTGGACAGAACTGAATGCAAGATTATGTTTTGGGTGTTGTACATCGGTCGCGCTAGTCTTAAGCAGCATTTGACCGCCCGGTGATCTTTCACGGGGAAATTCATCAAGAACGGTAATATTAATAGAAAGTACGCTCAGCGAAAACATGAGATCCAGAATAATGTTACTTCTGGTAGGTGGAGAAACTTGTTGTTGCCAACCATTCGCTGAATACGTGCATCTTTTGTGATGCTTTGCTGCTTAGCCTGTTACAGCTAGCCAATCTTATCGCTCTTGAAGCGTTTTAGCTACCGACATAGTTTTGGGGGCTGAAATAACATTTTCCATAGAACTAGAGTGGAGATGGTGGTTCTAGAGCACTATTTTTGGCCTGTGATACAGGGCTGACTAGTTGACACGTCAGGCATGCTCTTATGAGAGCTTAGCCACTTCTAGCTCTCGTGCGACTCTCCATCTCTTCGCTGAGCATCGGAAAACCGCACAACGAATACACATTCTTTTCATCCTCACCTAATCCAAAAACCTATGATCCATGCTTAATTTATACTTGAATACTTGTTTGTTGGGACCTGCGGGTGATAATTAGTACTCCCAACCAGTATGCATTACCTTATAGTCAACTTCTCTTTAATGCGTTTTCTGCGTTAAGTTGGTCATACTTCTTAAACTCAGGCCGTTGTTGCAGGTGGGTGCATCCCAGCGGGAAGTTTCACTACAGTGCACTGCAACAGGATGAATGCGCTCTGATTGTAGTTGAAAATTCTGAGATGAATGAATTCCCGGGCACAGTTATTGCTTGATTTAGTCCGTCATCACTTTCTATCTGCTTAAATGAATATTTTTCTTTATTGCAGGCCAGTCGAGATTTGGGGTATCGGGAAGCCAAGCGATTGCAAAGGGAGCGGAACCAACTGCGTGATGAACTTTCGAGTCAAGTCACTAGGTACGAAGATCGTCTAACCGAATTGCACAGCGTAATCGCTGAGCTTCGACGACGCCTGGAACGTACTGAAATTCAAGTGATCTCCGAGGTGGATGAACATGAGGGACGCGCTGTGAGACCAGATCGCTGTAAAGGTGCTGGAACTTCAAAAAAGGAACTATCCCCGCAAGCATGTTCCGTAACCATGGTTGAGGAAGCTTGTGAAGCTGACCATATATTTTCTCCGGTCAGACCTGATGGTGATGCGGTTTCGGAAGGCTCCACGGACGGAGATACGTCAGTTGGAGCTGTAGATGGGGACGATACTGAGTTACGCTGCGATGCACTGTCACAGAAGGGACGATTACTTGATGGTATCAACTCCGTGAATCCTGATGGAAAAACGTCTGCGTCTCCACATGCCGTTTATGGGTGTTTACACCATTGCAACTGTCACAGCGCCCATATGACTCCCAGCCGACTGCAGTGGCATGTTCACCCTAATCCGGGTGATGCACGATACTCGGAAGAGACAACGACAAAATCACCTCAAGCGCCAATTTTATCGGTGAGTAGCAAATAGTTTTTAGTCTCGGCCCTTCCACTTGATCCCACTGTGCTGATCTCCATGAGGTGAACTTGATAAATGGTCCTCCGAACGACGTGCACTGCCATTGCATCTGGCCCTGCTGTACGGCACCTAAGAAGCTCCCTGAAGTCTTTTTGCCGTGAAGTGCAGCTAATTAACGCGGCACAACAAAAGCTGCGAACCATCGTAGATACATACGTGTAACTCAGAGGTTAGTATAAAGGCCACGATTAAATAATCTCAACGTCTTAACGTGTTGACCTTTCTGCAGCGTACTTCCAATTCCGTAGACTAGGGGGTCAGTCAATTACGAGGTCACTGTAAACCGGACGAACGAACTCAGTCGTACCGTCTCACTAGGGATTTGTCAGCAATCCATGATAGTCTACAGGTATAGACGGATTTCGCTAATTATGGCACCTAACTTACAAAGCGTTTGTATGTTCACTTAGTCCACGTGGAGGGTCAGATTTCACCGACAGACCAGAAATGGTTATGCTTTTCGGTGGTGCATTTCCTTCGCCAGAGCCAACCTCCTGTATACTGGATTCAAACATCGGCAAACCTGACGATGACTTGGTGGCCACAGAGACAATTTGAAGCACATTGTTTATGCTCCATAGCTTTTATGGGTCAAACACAATTTGTATGAACTCTTATATTCACGAGAATACAGCATTTTCGTCGTTTTTGTCGCTTGAAGTTGGTCTCATCTTTGCAACGTTTCACATCGTGACGCTCGATCCATCGAATCGATATCTTTAATGTGGGTTATTCGCCTGGGTTTCTGAAAGAGCGAACTTTCAAGCATCGAAATTCGTACTGGCGCTAACTGGTGCGCAGCCCATTCTACGTGCCAATTCCGTACGCATTTATCTTGTATCCACACGTGACATTACGCGTTTGACCAGCGGGCGTTGCATATACGTTCGGTCATGTTGACATTTGGATGCCAGTGAGCTTTACTCTTTTCTTTTCGATGCATCGCGAAACCAGACACACAGTTGCCATGCTTGTGCCTCTTTGGCCTTGCGATTTATGAATACAGCTACATTTAAGAGTATTGGTGTCGTGTTGCGCACGTTTTTCTGCCAGTGCAGACGCATTGTCACTTGTCGTTCGCGGTGGCTATATGTATATCGCGGTTAGATGGTGCACAGGCTACACGCAAAACCAGCGGTTTGTTGGTGTTTGGAAACGCAGAGAGCTTTACAAAGTGGACGGAGGCCGATAGTTTACTTGTCATTCGCAGTTATCGCATCGCTATTTAAACGATCTAACCAACTCCTTAGTTCAGTCACAAGGGGAGTTATTGCGGAAGATTTGGCAACTATACAGTAGTGATTAATCCTTCACCTTTTTGCTTTCTCGTAATCATTTTTATCACGACATCCTTTTAGCATTTTGTTTGAATTGACGCAAAAACATACTAAAATATACATGTTCAAAACCCGCGCTTACGCCGCGCTACTTTCTGGCTGGTACTGCTTCTGTGTATGTGCGCTGCCACCCAGTTGGTCTGAAAGCCGGATGGTTAGCGTGGAATTACAATCGAACGTCTGCTTCCGTTGTATCCGACGTGTACGTCAGCTGTAGCGCCCTCTGTAAATGAAACTTAACTATGATTTTACTGTGAGTTGGTTGTTCTTGAGGTTTTTGCATTTGCTAAGGAACTGAAGCCTTTCCTTATTACGTAGGTCACTACAGATACCAAAGGCTGTGTTGTGAAAAGCCTGGGTACCGGCGATAACGCAACACACGGTACACTTAACATTACCCACTGATAGCTTTTGCAGTAAATAAATAACATTTTCACCATTGGTTGACATTGGTTTTCTTTCTACTTAGTACTGGGTCTTTATTTGCTATTTGTCCGTTTCATGTCCTTAGTCTAGAGTGTCAGTATAGTTGACTTTGGCTAACCGAGGAGTTAACGGAACCCCGCCCCCATGGTTATGGAATGTGAGGTTGCTGCAGACATGTTTGCTCGGATCGAGTCACGCGCTCCATTAGGTGTAGTAATATCCGCGGATTTCCAACCACAATATCCATCAAGAAGGCTGAATTTATAGGCATCTGTTGACCAGCTGCTGTTCGTGTGAAACAGGACACCTGCATTAACGTGATTGGTCGACATTTATGGCATTTGTAGATACACACAATTGCTCTTTAGAGTTACGTATTTATAAATCTATCGGTTTTCACTTACGAGCCTCACCAGGCTTCTGACCTGATGCTAAAATTAAACCAAGTTGGTCCAACTCGGAGACTGTCCGGCTGTGTCACACATCAGTGCCTGAAAGCAAAGTGAATGAAAGTGTTTGGAAATGTCTTCTATCATTCATGTGTCTTTCTTCTGAGTACTTTGCGCTCAGATAATTTACGGGGAAAATTAGTTGTTGTTACCCCACAAGGTCATAATTAGTCAGTAATAATGAGCTCCCCAGTCGAAGCTACATTATTTTTGTCAAAGCAACGATATAAACAATCCTTGATATGCATGTAGTAATGTTTCGTAGGCCGTTGCTGTGGCACCAATCTAAGTTCTTTTAAAGCCAGTTTATTTATGCGGCATTTTCACGCATTTGGATTTGGCTCATATTCCCTGGATTTGGTTATGCCAGTAGAACGTGATTCCCTTCCACTTGTCATCTCATCTACCAAAGGTATGTTCAGGTGAGTTTAAGACACTATGGTTTCACACCCATTAACCAACATCGCTGGCAGAGGAACAACTAAGTTTTTGTTCAAGTACACAGGGATGTGATCAGTGACGCATGGAACTGGGGCTATAATTAGTATCCATCGATTGTGACGTGTATAGTTAGGCTGCGGAACGAGTGGTGCCTAGGTTTGATTCGTGACCGCCTGAAACCGATGTTGGCGATGAGCTTAGTGTCGTGATGATACAATGGCTCCGGGCAATTACTACTTTGCTCTTGTCGAAACAGCGCAGTTGAAGTAACTGTGGCAGTGTTGCGCTCACAACCAGCTTTCTCAGCGGTATGGACTACCATGCAGTCACCACTATGTGTATGTTGGGTCAGTGCACCTCCCTAATTGTGCATCAGTAGGTCTGCATGGCATATAGGTCTTGCCTGGAGCAAATACTTTCTAGCACTTTCATGCTAACTTGATGTTGATTGCTTTTGTATGGATGCGCTTGCGTGAGAACTTGTCTAGCCATTGTGGTGTCCAATAATGAATATGCTCCCTTGGCGTTTCGTTCTTGCTGTACGTTTGTAGCTCCTGTGCTTTGTCACCCCGTTAACCTATTCACGCCCGATTAATCCACCATCTTGGCCTATTTGTTTTAGTCGACTAGAAACCGGCTCCGAACTAATCGTATTTCTCCCATACTATCTGCATGTATCCTTTTGGATTTATATAGCATATGGTATATGAGGATTAGGGCCTGGATGTGCAAAGCACGTTATTTCAAATCCCTTCGTTTGTGTAGGTGGCTTACAGATTTAAGTGGCCACACAGAGAATGATCATACATCAGTCCGGCTAGAATGCATAAATTTCTCTCTACATATGGCTAAAATGAGGGTACTAGCAGTCTAACCAATATGAATGATCCAGCATAACGTAGCTGAACGTGTTAGAAATCTCGAATATAGTACTTACGAAAGATGTGTCACATTAGTTTCGGCTTGTGTGCTTCCAGCTTGGTAGCATTTTCATTGACATAGACGACTACTTTGTGATTATATGGTGTAAGGTTACAAAACTGATACAATATCGCCCAAAGAGTGCTCTGCACGCTAACAACCGCAACTCCATTAGGCAGTCATTGTATTTCCAGCAGTATCTTTGCTCTGATACTAAGGCTAACAGACATAAAAGTGACATTGGAAAAGGCACGAAAGTAAAATTGTTGGTTTGAGATAAGACTGTAAAGTAACTTTCGTGGTTTCTATCTTCTTTGCGCAGCCTTTGCACAACTCAGCTTCCCAATGATCATCAAGTTAGCCTTACGTACCTTAAAATGACTTTTCAGAACTTCCAGTTAGTTGGCGGCATCCGGTTTCGGATTTGCCGGTCACTGTGCCCAGTCACAGGACGGGTGCGCTTACAGAGGGACCATGAGTGGCTTGCAATGCACCACCCACAGCTCCAACCACACACCCTATATCTAGTGTAAACCCGAAGGAATAAAACCGGGAGGCATATGGATGGGAGCCACGTTTCATCAACGGAGCCGGCCCACACTCCTTCACAGGCAAACACAAGCAAGCTGTAGTTGGGAAACAATCGCACACAAGGCTGTGGCTGGACCGTAGTCCGCTCCACACTGACTGCATGAAACCACTCTTTGATCCTAGCACGACCACAAGGACCGTGCACCCCGCCCCCTCCAGAAACGACCAACTGTCTCCTGGAGCCAGTATGGACGAGGTAGTGGGTAATATACAGGTAGGCACCTTGTCAACATGCACATCAAGCGTAGCCACACCGGGGATGTCAAGCAACAGCCAATCCAGATAGGCCTAATTGTGTATGTCATCTAACCACCTTGACCTGAGCATCTGGCATTTCGTTAGCCCTCTACGACTTTGCGGTGATAGGACCAACTTTGTTGGGGACTGAAGTAGGCCTGATAGGCTCGTTCGTGATCAAACGCCATACAACAACTTGTAGCTTAATCGTAGCAGTCGCTGCAGTCCGCCGTCGTCCAGTAAGATTCATCACGGACTAGTGATATAGGGTAGATGGTTCTAGCCCCACGCTGGACAACTGGAGTGACTGATTCTGAGGTGTACCGAAAGGGAGCAACGGCCATCCGATGATGTTACGGACGTGTGACGGTCGTCTGACGGAGTGCAGTGTATATGAGCCGCTGCTAACCCCTCACAGCAAGGAGCTGTTTTACGTCGTATGTTAGATCCCCTGTGGTTCATCGTGCCCAAACCTTCTCCTCTGCGGGGCTGTTGAGGTGAATGCAGGTAACCAGGTAAAGGACAGGACCCCCAT